TTTGAAATGTGATCCTGGATAAACAGAACTTTTGCCATATTTGATGATATTCTTTTTTGAAATTTAATAATGGTCCATTTTCGAACATGTAATGAAGATAAATTTGATCTTTCTGTTCATAGTTTTTCGTTTTTCGAATTAATTGACAAAGACTCGAGATTTATGTTTTGTTTTCTCTTTTTGTTGGTCTGTAAAGTAACATATTATGTAGTTGTTAATTGACTTCACTGTTTAATTCAGTCCATACACTCATAGAATCATATTTAGCAAAGAATTTTTTTATATGATGTTGTATAAATTTTGGTGGATAACCGTTAACTAGTAATATCATTTCTGTACTTAATTGGTCCATATCAAAATCTTCCACATTGGAACAGTTACGTGCAGCTCGCATTAATGCAATATAAATTAGATTCACATGAATGTGTCTTGGATGATCAGATTCATAAGGTATAATATAGGGTTCTGAAGCTGATTTATGATAAATAGATATTTTTAAATGTCCATTAATATTTTCAATAGTAAAATCAAGATATTCTAATGATTGACTGATAGTAGTACTAATTTTAACATTTGAATCTGTTTTAATGGTTTCATCAAGTTCTTTCAGAATACCTCCTTTGGATAAATTAGTTGTCATAAATACATCGTCAATATATCTATAAATATTTATGATTATGAGAGTAAAAAAAAAGTAACTAATAAATGCAAAATTAACCGTCCATAAATTTCATGATGTCTATTTTGGTGTTGAATTAATTTTTGCTCCTATTCTGACATATAAATAGTTGCTAAAACCATAGTAAATGGTGAACCCATGGCACCACCTTTAATTGATTAGATGCCTTATTTGAATTTCTGGATATCCCTATAGTTTCCTGTTTATCAAGATATAGAAGGTATAGGAATTGAGTTTTTCGAGCAAGGGTTGGCAAGTGACACCAATATATTTTATGAATAGATGTTTAAATCCAAATACTATCGAATGATCATCTGTACCAATTAATCAATGTCTCCAATATCTTCTATATCTCCTCTATATCCATCAACAAAAAATGATACAAGCTACCGGAAATTCAAATAAGGCATCATACGCTTTAATTTGTCGATAATACTTATCTTTATAAGCAAATGAATTGGTATCTAAAACAACACATGCTAATTGAATCATAGTTTATATTTTGAGATTTCCAATTTTTCCATTTATTGAATAGTTTTTACAGAATCGCGTTAAAGCAGCAATAGTGCCACCATGTAGTATCATTGTGTATAAATCAGCAACATGAAAAGTTATAGATAATGTTATTCAGGTGAGATCTATACCATTGATGAATGTAATATTTTTTTTCACATGATTATAAATTGGAGTAAGAAGTTGATCAAGAAAACTGGATATTTGTCTAGCAGGTGCATTAATTGAAGCAAGAATAGGTCAAACTGATAGTTCTGGCCATAAGAAACGTATGATAGAAAAAATATTTAGATAACAAACGAACGGTTTTATCTTATGTACTTTAAGATTGAAATAAATATGAGCAAATTCTAATGTATTTAGATTTGGATATATTTGTCTATATTGATCTTTCATTATTTTTTACGCTTTAATAGATCATCAAGTAAAGTTAACACAGAATGTAAATCATCTGCTAATGGATAAATGCCATTGGTGATCTCTTGATATGCGTTTGTTTTTGTCATATAACTTTTAATTTTTTCTTCAGATTCATGTGGATCCATAAAGAAAAATAATTTGCTTTTATCAGTTTGTCAGACAGCAATACTAGCTTTGCATAATTGTCATCGCATTGATTTTATCATCTTGCACATATATCGAGCATGTCTTTCAAGTTTTTTTAGTATTGGTTTCGTATATAGCTGTTGAAGTAAATTTTTTATTACAGCAAAATATTCAATAGCAAGTGTATCACGTGTTGAAAACATGTAATCGATAAGATTTTTAACATTTTCATTATAGAGGCGATTGTATGCTCGTTCAGTAATTTTTTCCATAGGTTGTCGATAAAAGAAATGCCTTTGACAGGGTGGAATAAATTTCAAACCTTTATTAATGACCCATGTAAATATTTTTTGAATCAAAACGCGTTCGAATCGATATTTCAAATTTAAAAAATGTATTACAATCCGTCTTAGGTTTGATCTGCTTCGCCATCAACATTGCCTAGCGATGATCTTTACCTAACTACAGGCCAACGGAAAGTTTAAATTTTAATGTTTCTAAAATGATAGAAATGAGGTTAGACCAAGTAAAATAGCGATTAGAAAGCAAGTGTACATACCATTGAGCCACATGTAATCACATGTGATCACATTAGTTGTAGAACGAAACAGAATCTATATATGCATCGTCTATTATAAACTTATTCACAGATACATGTGTCAATGAGGTGCTGTGCATATTTATTAATTATTGCTGTATATAAAAATATACTTATTTATCCAAAAAAAGAGTTTGCATTAGATAAGTCCAACTACATAATTTTAAAAATATCTAATTATGGAAACTATTCGTTTTGAAAAAACAATTCGGTTATATTATTTCTAAAATTTCATTATTTTCAATTTTAGAGTACCAATGTTTTAGGTTTAAAATATATATACATTCTGTCTTTCTTGAGAAAAAGAACTCTAAACTTTTTGAGAACTCTATATACTTCAAACGAAATTAATGTTATAAAAAAAACTGATATATATTTTCTAGTGAATAGAAAACGAATCTTTTATATATTTTTTCCTATAAATGAGTTTCACAATCGCATTTCGTTTGTATATTGATCGAAGTAATGGAATGCTTCTAGACGCAAGAAATGTTTCACTAGAGACGTGATTCCAAACCAAAACACGTTAAGATGCGCTTGAAGTCTTAGTCCAGTCGTGTTTAGATGCGGTCTGTGCAAAATCGCGTGCAGACGTGGTTTTTATTGTCCTTTGACTGAGTCCACACGCGTTTCATAAGAAAAACGCGTTTAAACGCACAATTTATGCGTTTAGTGTTTACATGGGAATAAGCAATTGTTCATTCGATAATGTTATAATAGTACTGGCAAAATATAAACAAAGAAACATATCCGTATGGTTTCGAATAATTAATTTTGAGTTGCTCCGCCGCCATCGTTGTTCGTTGTATCGTCCTGTGATGCCGGAGCTTCGTTCGAAAAAAGATTTCAATTTTTGTTGTGTAATATAATCAGATCGTTCGATCATATGTTTTTCACGTGCTTCAATAGCTACCATTAGTTGTTTGAATATATCTGAGTCTGAATTGTTTATCTTTAATTATCGGTAATAGCTACCAATTTCTTTTTTCCATTTTTCGCTATTTTATTTCAATAGCGTACTTTTTCTTTACGAGCTGCTATACTTAATTCAAGCATACCATATTTAAACGGGTCAATTTTTTTTACACGACAAGCATATAATATTGGTTTTTGCTTGTTATCATCATCGTTAGTAGAAGATTTTTTCGATCAGCTAAGTATTTTATCAATTTTATTAAGTGAATAATCAAGAAGATTGAATGCTGGTGGTAAACAATTCGAATGGATGCGATATTTTAATATCTCCATTTGTTCTTCCATTTGTTTTGTGGAACTCACGTATATTTTCGAAGAAAATAGTGAATGTAAGTGTTAAGGTCAAGGTTTTCCGGCTCCCACTCCCCATCCCCCATCCCATTACAGACACATAACAACGGAAGAAAACCTTACAGACATACCCCCATTACAGGCCTAGCAACCGCGCACAAAAGACTTCAGATTCTATACAATATTTCAATGCTTTCGGAATTATTTGAAAACAGCTATGCTTTAGTTTACAAATAATGCATTAGCATAATAGGTTTGAAGGATATACGAAAGTTCCACATTTCAGCTTCAAAGAAGTTGCGCTAGCAAGCTTTTTTTTATTATAAATTGCTTTTCATATATGACGAATAGAACGAATTTGTTGTTTATTGGGTTTCAAATCATAAACATATTGTACGAAACGATGATCTGTTGAGTCTAATTTTAAAATTTTTTTATTATATTCAAATTGTCGCTTTAATTTATGTTGACCTTTTCCGACAACAGCTGTAACCATTGCGAACATTGTTGTAAAATCTAATGGATGATTTATTTCAGATAGACATTGAGGTAATGATGGATTGCCAAACTCTTGTAATACTTGTGATCTTCTTGAAGTTGTCGTTGAAGAGTTGTTAGATGTTGTACGATTAATGTTTTTGAGCGACCATAAGTATGATGCATACTATTCATAGCAGCCCGTTTTTTTGATACGAGACCGAACCAAATATTTTCTTGCATACCAATATCATAATAATACTTCCATTGACTTTCTCGTAACTTTACATAGAATAGACGATGTATTAAATAAGCATATTGACGAATATAGTTAATTTTTTCACTTGTATTTAATCGTTTAACAATTTTATCAGCACCTTCTAATGAACTGATTAACATTTGTTTAAATATACGATTGGTTACTTGTAAATAATCAGATATATAAGAATAGTCATTATTACGATTAATTTCTTCTTTAGATTTTGAACGTTACTTGTCTGATGTTCCATTTGTAGTTACTTGTTCAATTTCATTATTGGCCATCTTTTGTTTTTTTTCGTGATGGTTGAGAAATAGATAATTAACTTAAAGACTTATCAATTGTATTTGATGATTGTTTTGATGATATTTCATTTCTTTTACGTTTGATTGATTCTTTTACTAATAAGAAAGGTAGATATTACTTGATCAACTGGTACATTGACCTGTATATGATCATTAGCATCTTCTTTCATTTGTTTCTGGTTTTTCTGAAGGCTCACGTTTGACTGAATTAAATCGGTGAGTCAATCTTGATCAAAACCTTTTCGACGAAGTCGTCCACGTCGACGTTGTGCTTTTCGATCACCGCGGCTTTTTTTCTTGCGTTTCACCTCTTCACCTTTCTGTGGTTGTGCTGGTTCCTGTTTTTGCTGTTATCCAGTCAACACTTGCGTTGGTGAAAGTAATTCATACTAGTGATCTTGAGCATCTTCAATTGGTGTTTTTAAAATTGATTTCGTTGTTGTCATTGTTTCGTTTGTTTCAATATAATTCATTTATAGAGAACAATAAATATCTAAAATGCAAAGAGGAAACATTAAATCTCGAAAACGTAGGAGTCAACAATTATGGGATATCTAGTTTTAATAAAGTTTACAAAAAAAACCATTTACGTAATGTATAATAAAAGAAACAAAAAAATCTCTGAATTTCATAATTATAGACAGCCATTTTGTGTTCCGTCGATATTTTGGTCGATGAATGACTCCAATGTTTATATTATTGAATTGTGGTTGATTTTTCAAATAGTCTTCCGAAAATGTTTTAATATTTTGTTGAAAATCGTATAGCTCTTCTCCATTTAAATCAGATGTAATGTAGCATAGCTGTTCTCTTTCTTGTTTTCATCCTTGTTTTATATTCATTTCTTGATGTTGTTGATCATACTCGATAATTTCTTCACGCACTTTATCATAGGTATTTTGATTTAAATTTGATTTTCAATTGGAAATATGAAAATCTTGGAACATTTGCTCAACATGTTTTGTTATAAAATTGATTGAATAGCCGTTATTTAAAAATACTATTTGAACATCACGACGTTCATTGTGAAAATCAGATACTTTGAAGCGAATTAATGCTGCACACATAAGACATGCTTGAATTAATGTTGAATACATTAAAAGTGGATGATCCGATATAAAAGATAATCCAAGTGGTTCAATATCATTATCGTGATTAATTATAGTTCGAAGTTGACTATTGATATGACTTCTTTGATCATCGAGATGGGTGACATTTTTTCCAATTCAAAGTGCTACAGATAAATGAGGATTTTTTTGACGAACCATTCTCTTAAGAAGTTATTGAAGTTCTCATTTTGATTTATTACAAGTAAAAAAACATTTCATTAAGATATCGACCAAATATTTCATTTTGATTAACTAATCTTTTAACTAAATCTTGTTGTCAATAGAACATATAAATATTTGCTAATAGATGATTGAGCGGTTGACCAGAACCACAACCTTTAATTTGTCGACAAATTTTGTTATCGAAAATAAAGTATTGATTTTGTAAAACAAAACGAACTAACTCAATAATAGTATCAACGGTTAATCCTTGCACTTGCCCATCTGGTACATAATCATAGAGAAAATGCTGTAATGATTCCGTCAATTGCTCATGAGGTATAAGTGTACATAAATCATTGACGTGTACAGCAGCAAATAATGTGTTTGATTGTAAATGAACTTCTTTGGCATAGTTTTCTAATGCATATATAACATTACTAGCTTTGAAAAATGTTGTTGAATGAGTCGCTTGATCATAGATATTTTGAAGAAGGCGGCTGATGTAACGAGATATATCAATAGTGAGTCCTAAGCAACATACCAGGACAGATTCAAATGGTATAGCACTTTATATACAGAAATAAACACATTTTCTCAAAAGGATACAATGAAAACAAAAAAGGAATACTTACTTGATGTGCATCCGGTAAAAAGTATAGATAATCGATTTGTACCATTGATCACTAAACAGTCATTTGTTGAACTTGTATATCAGTCAGACACTGACGTTCATGTAAATCATTTAGTAATAAAGTAAGTTCTTCGACTATTTTGCTTAAATGTCTTTGAACACTATTCAAATCTGTTGCATTCAATTCTTGAATTAATAAATAAGTACCAGTTCGTGTCATATGTTGAAATACTTTGTCATCCATTTCACTTTTTTTACGCCAATAAATTGCATTACTATTGAGTATATCCAGTAACATACCACCAGCATTCGTTACTTCTCGTTAAAAACATTGATCATCTATGGTTCGTTCATTAGCTGGAGTACGTTCTGGTTGCCCTACAGAGCAAGATAGAAATATTAAGTTAACATCACCTTCACCGATTTGTTGCCCTGGTGGTTCATATTCAGTTTCACTTTAAAAGCCCCCCCTTTTAGAAAATCAAGTTTTTCCGGAAAATATCGAAGTTGAGTTTCTAGTACAGGAAGATGCAACGAAGTTTCCTTCTTCTCAGAATATGTATAGTTTTGTGGCAAATGATCAGATGTTCAAACACTTTTCACATGAAACTCTAAATCTACTACCATGTTTTGCGAGAAATTTCCGTGGTTTTTAAAGGTTTCCAGTTCCAGAAAAATTGCGTTCCCACTCGTATTTTCATTGAATAAAATATTTTTATATTAATCAGCATGATAGATGGCGTTAGCTACCCTCATCTATTATGTCCCTTAAAACGATTCAATGGAATATACCATTGTAATATGATTTGTTCTGGATTTAAATGAAAATATCCATTTCTGGAACTTCTTTAGCATTTTTCTCAAAATACGATTTCTAGACAGGAAAATTGAAATAACTTCCACTTGACTCGGCATATAACCGATGTTTTTTTTTTGTCTTATAGATCTTAAGCAGAGCTAACTTTTTATCGGACGGATTTTTGATATTGGATCTCAGGGCTGAGAAAAGTAGGGTTTACTGTCGTAGACTAGCTTTTTTGTGCTTATTTTGCAAGCACATCCACAAAATTGCTCATAAAAAGTAAATGGAAGGCAGTTTCAAAATTCTGTCTGATGAAAAGTTCTGTACAGAGGCTAGCTACAATTTGAAATCAGCCCGAGCTCTGTACCCTTTCTAACGAGAAGTTATTTCGTTTCTCCTGGGAGGTAGGAAAACAAGCCGAAACATCAATCTAGTCAGGCATATCAGAGTGAAATTTTTACCACAAGCGTTTGTCGTCAAGATAAATCATCCCCCTTAATGAACTTATCTCAGTTGTATCATTATATTTTTCGTGAATAAGCCGATGAAATTTATGAATTACAGGGTGTAAAAAAACCATTACGCCCCCCCTTCCAGACCTAAAGACCAAATAGTACCCCCAACAATTTTATACCAAATGAAAGCCCGCAAAAAGTTACGTCTAGTGGTATAGTCAGAACAAATATAGTTTGTAATATTATAACGATTCTAGGCTCAATACATCATTTTCACTTATGTATCACAGTCTCATATCAATTGAAATGATACAAGTTATCTTTCTTCACTTTCGAATTACGTATTAATAGATCGTAGTTTTCATGGCTCCAAGTTTTTATTAAATGTACGATATCGTAGACCAATATGTCACGTATTTTCCCAAATTTTCGTTTTCTAATGTTATATTTGAGTATCACAAAGCACGTGAGCGAGTTGAGTAATGTTTAGTGTGAATTATCAAAAGCCTTACTATTGATGACTGATAACGAGAAGAAGGAACAGAAAAAAAGAAAGTTATGTGCACATTTATGCACGAACAGATAAGAAGAGAATACAGAAAAGAAAATGGTCGAGTGTCGAAATATTTTCAACTTTTTTCATTGATTTTCTTTCTGAGTATCTGTTGTCCGCGCAAGTAATTTTTATTCACGTTAGACGTTGAACAATTTGCTGATTAGTTAATAAAAAATTCTATGGTACATTAATTTGAAAAACCAAAATGGCTAATCTGCTTCATGATTCGGAAGAGCAACGATTCGTTGACAGACTTCGATGTGTCACACATCGTGAAATACGTGACGAACTGATTGCAAGAACAGGAGACTCAATTATTACTCGCCCTTGGATTTCCGAGAAGCTACGTCGCAGTGAAGATTGGGTACGACGAAATTGGAATAAATCTATCGAAGAATGTTATACACAATTTGGCAGTGGTCGACCCCAGGTGCTTAATCAGGAGAGCAGAAACATTATCTCTTCTGCAAGTGGTGTCAAAAGCAGTAGCTGTCGAAAAGTTGCAAGAGAGATTTTAGAGAAAACAAAACAGCGGGTGAGTCACATGACTATTTACAATGAACGCCATCGGCAAGGATTAAAAGCTTTCCATGTGATTGCCAAGCCACTGAAGACAAATACACATATCGAAGATCGCAAGTGGCTAGCAAATTTTCTTACTGATTGGACTGAAGAAGATTTTCTACATGTTGCACCTTCGGATGAATTTTACATTTATGTTGTAAGAAAACCAAACCATCAAAATGATCGAATTTGGGCAAGAAGTATTGAAGACATCAGTGATGATGAAAGATACCGAGAGATGGTTTACAATGCAACATGTATTGGGGTTTTCGTCATGTTTACTGCAAAAAAACTACTTTGGGTGCTAAAAGAACATGGACAGTCTTGGGATGGCGCTTACTTTCGTGACACTATCCTTCGACAACAGGTGATCCCATTTCTTCGTGATTCGTCCAATGTTCTCGATACGAACGAAGTGATATTTCTTCACGACAAGGCACCTTGTATGAAAGCGAATGCAACACAACATCTTTTAGAAGATGAGAATGTGAATTTCTGGGGAAATTCAATTTGGCCAGGCAATAGTCCTGACATGAATCCTGCAGAAAATATTGGTGCAATTATTAAAGATAAAGTTGAGGAACTAATGGCAAATGAAGATCGTCGTAGCAGATACAATTACGATGCACTGAAAACGAATTTGGAGAATACGCTCAAAGATCTTGAAAATGATACAGATCTTTTTATTGACTTGTTATGCTCGATGCAAAAAAGATTTGATGCTCTCAAGGCTGCTGATGGGGATCATACGAAGTTCTGAAACTTTCGAAAAAGCATTTTTTAGTATTCAATATTATCAATAAACTGAATAATTAATGATTCACAACTTAAGTTACTGTTGAGCACAACGACTTTTGACGTACTCGAGATTGTGATATATAAGTGAAAATGATGTATTGAGCCTAGAATCGTTATAATATTACAAACTATATTTGTTCTGACTATACCACTAGACGTAACTTTTTGCGGGCTTTCATTTGGTATAAAATTGTTGGGGGTACTATTTGGTCTTTAGGTCTGGAAGGGGGGGGGGGGGGCGTAATGGTTTTTTTACACCCTGTACATCTGTCATATCGTTTACCATTTTTTATACTAATGTGATAAAGTTACTGATCTGTATATATCGTAGAACAGTACGATATGAAATGAAAAAAAGTCAATTTAAAATTTACAAAATATGTTCAAATTTTTTTCACAAGTCATAGAATATATGTAAATAAACTAAGAGAGATGTACATACTATAGCAAAACATTTTGTATCTGTGTAGCTATATATCATAGTTATACAACGAAAACCAGACTTCATCCCTGACAACTGTGACAATAGAGTTAAATTCGGTAAGTGAAAAGAACAAAAAGGCATGCGTTCAAAATCCGATGTTAAATCATCAACCTCACTAGGAGATGAAAACATATCAAGCAAGTCTATCTGCCAGAGGTTCATCATATAAGAATACTGAGAAACGTGGAAATCGAAGAAAAATTCTCAGTAAAGGAACTGATATATTCTTGAATTAAAATGGAGTTTGTCAGTCTTCCCTTGGGCACATTGATCGAAGAAAGAGTAAAGAATTTTTTCACCAAACTACATTATATAAAAATGAAAAGAATAATAGTGTCAAACAAAAAGCTCTTTCAAACATTTACAGGAGCAAGAAAAAAATTATAATTCAACGACAATTCCAAAATGAAAACCTAAGTAAGAAAACTTAATTTGACCTTAAACCGCTGTGTTTTTAACAAATTATTTCATGTACTGCAACACAAACGGAGACAATCAAGTCATTCATTGATTCCGCTCCGACCAATGGGACAGCAACTTCAGACAGCCACAGTGACCTTACGCAAAACTATCTGAATCCACAGGAAGATGCGAATAAATGTCTTTTAACAAGAAACTTAATTCACTGAAAAAAATTGACCCGAAGAGAAGTCATCATATAGTACTAAAGCGGCCGTTGGCCATCGCAATCGCTTAAGATCCGTCTACCAATCGAGTAGTACTATTCTCATAGTACATCGAGACAAACATCTTTACTATTGATCACAAAGAATTAAATAAAAATTCTGGAACCTAAGTACCCCGTGCGTTTCGAAAATGATTGCACTTATTGTATTCAGTAGAGATTATAGTAGAAGAATCGATGTTGCTACTATTGTGTTGATCGACGAAATTAATTCATCACGCGTAAAACAGATCTTTATATACCCGAAGGCGTGAGAGACGATAACAACCTAGGAGAAACGACAACAAAATAACGGTCACGTCTCATATTTGCACTTTCAAGATGAACTTTTAACAACTACTTCTGAAATTTTACTTTTTAACAGTCCTCTTTTTATTATAAATAGAATGACAACGTGTATTGTGAAGCCCTGAATAAGTTAAGATACGTACAAGCAGGATTTCATATGTAAAATATTGTTTTTTATGAGCCGCTCATGTAACAATCACCCTCCAAATCTTTAAAAAAAAACATTTGGCGTTGATATAAATGAAAGCAAAAACTATGATAATGAGATATGATGTTCATTTCAATTTTCACGTATTTTGCTTATATGTGATAGTGACATGCATTAATAATAGCTTGTTGTCAGATCAGAAAAAGAGAGAAAGCAAACAACATAAAGTAGCACATACTCTTCATACCTATTTTTGTTTCGATGAGATGCGACTCTACTTGAGCAACAACATACTAAATTGTTTACTTATGACGATTAGTAGCTAATACCAAGTGTGCAACCAGAAGCTATGCTTGAATTCAGCAATGTAGGTTAGAAATGTTATAGAGTGTATACAAGTAGCCATCAATTATTACCTAACAGTTGTTTAAATCGAAACATCATTTCGTATCTGTCCTTCTTTC